GACGTCAGGCCCCTTCGTTAAAGCCCATTTTCTTTTTGCTTTCATGTCAGCGTTCGTTAAGAATGCCAAGGTTTTTATATTTACGCACGATGAAGCCCTGTTTTCGAATACGACTCTCTCCCCGGCTCCAGCGGTGTCGGGAAAAGGCTGTGTAGGGGCCTAGCCTCCCCGTCAGCACTGTGCATATCCTCCCCCTGCACCCCGTTAACTGCCTTCTCTGGAAATGATATGAAATGTTGAGGATAACTAAAATAGTATTCAGAATTATAGGTGGCTAAACTGGATGATGGAGAAGCGAATCATTACAGAAAATCAGGCAGAGAAAGGAGGGTGGTGGTCTGTGGCTCAAAGTGTCACACTAATTGAGTTTGATGTGATTGAGATGTGGATAAGCTGAGACTCCTGTGGCTCTTGGGCACAGTGGCAGGTCCACACACACCGGGAATGCTTTAATGTCGACTGCTGCAGATTAATTCATGGTGTCTTTTTAGGCGGTCCACAGCTGTCCCAAAGAAATGCAAACATCATGTTTCCAGTAGCCATTTTAGTGGTTTAAAGGTGTTTTATTTTTGTGAGGTTCAATGTCAGGAAGTTCACAAAACAGTCAAGTACTAAAGGTTTTTATGTTTTTTGTGGGATTAAAGGTTATCCTGCAGGGATCACAAATGCCTGCACAAAATGATTTTACAATCTAGCTAATCGATGTCATATATTCTATCTGCTTATCTGGGTGCAGGTCCCCTTACAGGGCCGCCTCCCACAGCTGACTCCTTTCAGTGGGGAGGAATGGCAGCCCTACCCTCTACCCTGTTCTCGCTCACTTTGCTCATCACTCGACTTAACTGCTTTCAGCCTTCATCAGTTAAATGAAGATCCTCTACCCCCCACCGATCTTCAGTGAGCAGAGCTCCGTTAATAAGTAAATCCTGTATTAAATTTGCATTACTATTATTACTATTATTACTATTATTACTATTATTACTATTATTACTATTATTACTATTATTACAGGCTCGATCCTGAATGGTAATCTTCATTTGGACGCACAGTTGTTTGGTGATGTATTAACGTACGTTGTGATCTTAAGACAAACTGTATTGGTATTTAATATGGTGGCGAATCACAACAACAGTTCTCTCAAAGCCGTTTAACACATTGCTGCGTAGGCTTGTGTGCAAACGAGAGGGCGACACACATCTGAACTCACTGCTTAACTCTGTGTGCATTTCCACATGGCTGCACCGGATCTGCATTTGCTGAAATATTAACTCATTTTAGACACACAAATCGCATATGCATGAGCTCCCACCAGAAGCAAACGATATGAAAGTGACCACAGTACGGGAATGACACCATAAAAAACACTACGCTTTGAGGCATATACAACGTGTGTGTACTCCACCTAAAACCTGTTTAGAGATGCAAATAACGGCGCTGGACTTTTTGTTAATGAGATGAATTGCAGGGCATTAAGGGGTGCGCGAAGGGGGGGGAAGAGGTGTCCAGGTGATGCAGGAAACACCGACGGCAATCACGCCTGTGACTGGCCGATCCGTGCAAATCTTTACAGCCAGCTCACTGTTACATCTGCTACACAAATCTCGAGACCGCCCGGTCCATTAATTGTTAATATCCACAAAGTAATAGCCTTCATTCAAAATGGCCAAAGCAGCAAGGAGTGGTGGTAATTTATCCCCATCAGAGCTTTTAGGAAGCCTGTTCACCACCAAGCAGGCGCAGGAAAACCCCCCCATCAAATACTGATCTCAAATATTTCTGTACGACTTTAAATCAAAGCAAGTCACCGTGTGGGGAAGAAAGCATCTTTGTCATAGTTCAAAAATTCGTTTGGTGCGCCCGTTCGCCAACACGTGGGTTATTGCACGCCCCGAGCGGCGCAGCGGCGTTCGTTACATCAACTTTTCAGAACCCCTCATGTGAAGGAAGCTCAAACATTTTCTGTTCAGGCTGTAAATGTGTTTGTCAATGAGTCGAAGTGCGGCTCTGACTGCAAACAGCTTCTTCACAAAATGTCTTTTCAAGGCTTTTTGAGTCAGTTTGAAACGTCCTGACTCAAACGAGTGACGCCGCAGCGTCGGGGTTGACCTTATGTAACCCTGTCCTGACACGGTGCAAACACTGGGACTGCTCTACATAGATTGCATATCTGCATGTAATGCTGCGCTGCTCGACCTCACAGATATTCAGGCCCCAGCTAAAAAATTATAATAATGTTTTTAATGAGCCTTTGAATGTGTGGCGGTCCATTATCTAAAACATTTCACTACAACTATTATTAATGAACAAAACTCCTTTTAACAGTATTCACATGAACACGCTGTTTGAATATAATTAATGTGTGAAAGGTGGATCTTTGTGATTCTGATGCCTGTCGAAGGCCGACGCCATCACATTTTCCTGGTTTACTCGTTTGTAAGAGCTGCTTACAGGAGAGCCTAACTATCTGAAATGGGCTTAGTCAGCAGGCGACCAAGTGATCTTTGCAAAGCAAACAAACAGCTACCCTAATGACTTCCCATAAAACCATTTCTACTTGTGTAAATGGGCTGGAGTCACACATGACTGCTTTCAGATGCTGCTGACTACGAGTGGAAATGTAACAAAGTGGAAACGCTAATATTGTCCTCCGACTCCCACAAAGCTGGTACGCTGTTTAAAATGTAAATAAAAAGAGAAAGCGGTGATTCCCACTCTATTCACACGAAAACACAGAAAACATATCTAACGGGAAAAATCGATCATTTTAAGAAAAATATTGGCTCATTTTGTTGAACGCGTCTGAACACAGTTGGTAGACTTTTCCTCTTCTTTTAGTTTGTAAATGGGAACCGAGGAGACCCACCGGGGAGAGGAACATCGTCCCAGTCTTCTGTGACTCTGGCTGCTCTGCAGGTCTGCCACCTTCCCCAAACTTCCACGACCCCCTAAGTAATCGTGCACGTGCAAACAGCTAGTAAAGACTTAAAGACTGAGACCAGCAGCGCATCTAATAGCACGAGAAAACGGCTGAACGTCCTTAATATCCTCCTTCCCTTCTGCTGATTCACATACGTGACTGTGTGGTTCTGTGCTCCCCTTCAGTTTCATACACCTGTAAGGTTTTTAGCTCTGCCAAGCAGGTTATGTTTTTGGTTGCATACGTGTCCTTCTCTCTGTAAACGTAATAGCGTGAGAGGTTGAATCCTGGTAACATTTTGTCGAGGTGTACAATCCAAACTTTGCTCGCATCTTAAGACCTTATACGTCCACACTAATGCGCATCGTTTTCTCTCCGTTTTGGCCTCCTGTCCACACCGAGACACATTTTCCTCAAGGAAAAACGCAGTGTTTTGAAAACGCTCTCGAAAACGAATACGTTTCAAAACGGTGCTGTTGCGTCGCAGTGTGGACAGCGAAAACGCAGTTTCTAAAACGATGACTCATGTTAGTCATGTGATGCAGTCATGTGACCAATTACTGACAGCCCTATTAAAGATTAACATCAGTCTGCACGTGCTTCATAGAGCTTTTCTTCAAACTCTCACTCGCTTTTGCAACTTTGTGCTTTTGTGTTACTCGCAGCAACAACTCCAGCTCATTGTGAGTCCATTTAAAAACTCGCTGCTTTTCCTCCACATTTCAACGAGCCGGAAAGTGAATAAGCCGCAGACAGAAATGAGGCAGGCCGAATCTTCTTGCGTTTCACGCATGCGCAGGACTGGTACGTAAGTGTTTTCAGATGTTTCAATGTGGACGCACAAGTCTGTGAAAACGACTGAAACGTGGACGCGGAGCGTTTTCAGACAAAAACGCAGTTTTCTAATCTATCCGGGCCGGTGTGCACGTAGCCTGAGTTGACCTTAAAGATTTACTGGTGGGAAATCTGACAAATTTACAAACTGTGATTCTTACAAGTGTGGTGTGTATCGTCGATATATAGCAAGTACTTCATTATTAGTATTTCTTATTTGACCTCTGACCTCTCCTTTAAGGTCAACAGATTGAGCAGCTCCAGCAATAAAGCTGTTAATATGTGAAAAACAGAGAACATGTTTCCTAAACGTTTATAGTTTGGCAAACACGAGCATGAGGGCCTTGGGTGCCGGCTTTAAGCCTGCAGACAGAGTGTGGAATATTTCTATCAAGCAGCAGCAATCTATGCTGCTCTGTTTTTCTCTTTGTTATTGCTGTTATTGGCTGATTCGGTGGTGCGTGGCAGAATAAATGGGGGTCAGACAGGTAGAGCCCACACCAGATGATGGGGTCTATCTCACCGGTTATTCTTCCTCAGCCTGCGCACGCGTCCTGTCACACATTTCTTCACTGCTAGCATATTTTTTGCCTCAACATTGACTCTAATGCCCATTTTATCATCGTCCAATCACTGTTGTGTGCGGATTTCTTGCTGCCTCAGGAAATGACCTGTGTTGTAGTTTCAAGCTAATCTGTGGAGGCACATATGGGCTCTTACTAATCTCCAGCCTGCGGTGTATGATTTCGATCTGCGATCCAACCCTCCAGCCTGCACAGGATGATTCCTGTCCACTGGAAATTGCCCATTTTATCATTTATTGCCTCAGGTTGTGCTCTCTCTCTCTCCACCCACACTGTCCATTTCCTGTTATTTGATGAACACTCTCCCACCACCAACGCTTCGACTGGCCGGCCAAATCCACCAAATTATCCCTGCGAGTTGGAATTCATGCAGTATTCCTGTCAGTCTGTCCGCTCTCTCTCCCTGCAGGCTGGACCCAGATCCCACAGCTTTTACCTCCCAGATCCTCCAGCTGCTGACTCCTTGTTTTGAACTCTTCTGTTTGCTGGGCTCCTCTTTGTCGCTGCCTGTCTGGGTGCGCTGAGCGATGAAGATCCCTCTGTGGTGCCTGGTGGTCCTGCTGGCATGTCTCTTCACCCCTGGATGCAGTGACTGTCAGGGGCAATGTATGGCCTGTGGACTGCTCCTGCAGCAACAGCAGCTGGAACAAACCTTCAACACCATGGTGAGCACATGTGTGTATCATTGTAATTCTGTGTGAATGCATGTCAACACCGCGGCGCATGTGTGCAGCTGCAGCGAGCCATCAGCACCCTGATGGGGCCATGATGGTGATCCAGTGAGTTATTGATTAGAGTGTCTTTGTAACGCATCGTGTACAGTTCGATGGTCCTGTGTGTGCTTTGTTTGCTCTGTAATGTAACTACTTATGTTGTGTTTTTGCGTTGTCTGGTTGTCATTGTGCATAAGCTTTCTCTGTGTGCTGTCAACCATTTACATTGTTGTGTTTTCACCTCAAAAACAGCAAGAATATTTATTTTTTCACAAGAATTAAGGTATGAAGCATATTTCAATCAGTCACCAAAACATCCATCCAAAATATTTCATGCAGAGCAGAATTGTGGTGGCAACAATAATTAAGAATAGTAGAAATCCAGATTTCATGTCACAAAGGGACATTGAAAGCGCTTTATAAATAAAGTTATTATTATTATTATTATTAGTCAACAGACTAAAGAACAGCTTCTTCCCGGGCTGTCAGAACTCTTAATGCAAGCTAAGAGTGTGTAAAGACTTCCCCAACACATCCACCCTGACACTGCTGTGGATCATCTATATGCAATATCTCAGTCTTTCCATGTTCTGTGCAATTATTTTGGTCCCAGTCTGTTTCAATGTTTCCTCCACATACACCATGTATATAGTTCCACTCACATATGTATACATATACACTGTTTTTTATTTTATTCTATTTATTTAATTATTTATTTATTTTCCGCCTTCGTTGTATATTGGTTTCTCTTCTTCTTACTTTAGCACCTTTGTGGTCCAGCTACCCAATTTCGCTGTGCAAGAAACTGCACAATGACAATAAACAGCTCTAAGTCTCTAAGTCTTCTAGAAGTGTGCGTTTGCAGGATTTTTACCAGCTCATGCAGAGTCTCGATGAATGACACCATGTTCCACTTTGTACAGTGCTGACACTGGAGCTGCTTCTGCTGATTACTTTATTACCTGCACAGGTGACGGGAAGAAGCAAGCAGGCTGAAACTGCGGGAAAGGACGTGCAGGGAGCAGGGCGGTTATGCAGTGGTTATCACTGTGACAGGGTTCTAGGTTGGAGCCTCGTGTGGCTCGGTCATTTTTCTGTTGCCTCATTGCTCAGAATCAAACCCAGGCATGTCAGACTAACTGGTGAAGTGTGGACGTGTGGCTCAGTGACTCCTCGTCCCTCTGTGCCTGTCCCGAGTGAACCTGTCTGTGTTGTCTGGGTAGATGAACATCAGGGGATAACTGAAGTTTCTGCAAATCATGATGTGGGGACATATCTGACAACCAGCCAAGCTCACATTCACACTTATGACCAGTTTAGAACTGAAGTATCTGAATTTCCAAACGCTCCTTCCAGTTCTCATCTACACATGTTCCCCCCAGCTGTTCGTTCTTGTTTTCGTGCCCCACCCTCCCTCCCACTTTTATTTAGTACATGGTAGACTTGTAGTCAAGACCGCCTAAACTGAGACCAAGTCGAGACAAAAAAGTTTTTAAACTGCAGCCAGATGCTGTTTTGTTTACGGGTGTTGGGCATATCTATGTGTTTTTGCGATGCACTCGCACAGCCCTCCTCACCGCTGTCCACTGTCTCACTCACTGAGAGGACAGACACACACTGCACTTGACTGTCATGTCTCTCACCCTCTCTGTTTTTCACATAATGATACTATGTGAAAAAAATGAGGATAAATTAAGTGAGGAGCCGGCTCTCGCTTAATGGGAGTCGACTCTTCAGAGTCGCTGCAAAGCACTCTCCAAGCACGGCTCTTGGAGCTGATGCCTTTGCACATGACGCATTATCAAACGTTACGTTGTGTGTCATGGATACTAGTGGTGCAACGGCTCAAAAATCTCACGGTTCAGATCGGATCACGGTTTTAAGTCACGGATCGGATCAATTTTTGGATCAGCAAAAATAGAAAAAAAAGACAAGAATTTGACTCGCCGTTTATTTATTTAAGTATTTTTTGCCTATTAAAAAACAACTGAAGACTCATTCCACTCACTTATATAAAAACAAATTAAGGTGCAATATGGACATTATGGACCAAGCTGGGCATCCTCTGCACACGGCCATAAACAACCAGAGGAGTCTGTTCAGTGACAGGTTGCTTCTCCCAAAGTCAAGGACCAGCAGACTTAAAAAGTCCCACACGCCATCAAACTGTTTAACTGCTCGCTGGAGGGGGGGAAACAAGGGGGGAACAAGTAGCTGTAGCGCCTTTTCCCTGTGCAATAGTTTTTGCTAATATCCAACGGTGTAATAGACTCACAATACTTGAAATGTGCTGTTCCCTTGTATTCTTATTCCTGTTTATTCTATTTATCCCTTTTGTATTCTCTGTATTTATATATGTGTATATTTGGTATATTTCTGCTCACATTCTGCAACTTCTGTCGGTGCTGTGCTACTGGAAACAGAATTTCCCGGAGGAACCCACCCGAGGGATGAATAAAGTTTCATCTAATCTAATGTAATCTACAGGGCAGTGCAGGGCTTTGTATCTACCACTCCGCTGTGATATAACGAGCGGTCACGGTCACGTGGCTTTCCGTTGACCTGGAGCTCCACCCATTTGTAGTTAGAGCAACAGAAGATGGTTGGAACAGTTCAGCCATAACTTTAAAGTTCTCCTGCTCATACATGCTTGGAACGATCTTGTCACTGAAGTGGACGCGCAACGAGACATCATAGCGTGGCTCAAGCACGTTCATCGTAGTTTAAACCGCTTGTTTTGCACAGCAGAATACGGCCTCCCGTCTGCAGCTAAACACCCCAGCAGCTTCTGTAATAGCTTTGCCCGGTCGGGCTGGGCAGCAAAGGGCTGCTTAAATACCGCAAACTCCTCTGCTCCTCCACTTGAACCGCTAGCGCTGGCCATAACTATCGCTGGACAGACTGACCACGCCACCATACGCGTACTTTTCTTTTTCTTTTTCGAATCTTCGGATCGCGTGCGTACCGAACCGTGGAGTGGGATCGGTTCGGATTTCGGATCAACCGTAATCCGCTGCACCACTAATGGATACCGTTGACTCCAGAGGCGGAGCCAGACATTTTATACACCCGGGGCTTAGCCGTAAAGGGTAGTATGCATGTGGGATGGGGGGGGTAGGCTGTTTTGAATTTTGTTCAAAAAAGAATCTCTTCATGTAGGAAAAAATATGTCACATATGCAGGACACCTTAAACTAACTTTTTAATTAAGCAGCGAGACAAAACAATGTCGGGGCTGTATCAAGACACGAGGACTAAACCCCAATTCAACCAGACCCAGAACTGATCCAGAACTAAAACAGGACTACAACAGTTCAAAATCAGGACTACTGAGGACTTAACCAAGACAGAACCAGAATCAGAACTAGATGATAGCAGCACTAAAAATCATCATAGACCTGCACTACACTTATTTTTTAATTCTACCAAAGTACAATAATTATTTAGCCTTGTTGTGCAAACAAGCTGCAAAACTTAATAAATATAGAATTTGAAAAGTAACAAACGGTATCTAAAAAGTTACACTAGGCACTGGATACATGTTCTGATGAGTTTGGGCAAACAACATGTGACTAACAGGTGTGTCACCTGCTCTTGTTCCCTCCCTGTTCTGTCCTCCTCTCTCTCTCCCTCTCTGTTCCTCTTGTTTTGCATAGAAATATACTGAACAACATACAAAGTATAATATATAAAATAACATCTACCTTTTTTCTTTGAAAGAAGCTCCTTATGTCCATTGTTGTGTTCATCAGTACATAACTCAAACCGATTCTGTGCTTTATTTAGCCGTGGAGGGAAACAACTGAAAATATGAAATAAACACACATGTGAGCTGAGACTCTCTAAAGAAGCAGCATTGTTGTTGTTCGGCTTTTCATTTCGCCATTTGTTGATTCACTCAAAGAACGAGTAACGTAATATGGGTCAAGTGATCAGTTTGACATCAATCTTTTGTGATTCACCGTCATATTTACATTATTTGTACAGTACGAATGATTTGCTTCGGAACTTGGTCGAACTTCAGCTCTTCTCTGTCTGCGCTTCTCCAACAGCAAACTCGCAGGCAGCAGCTTCTCCCCCCTCGCTCACATGCTGTGCTCCGTCGAATAGTGCCTGAGCTCGGATCATACCAAAATTAGGGGGGATACTCGGTGTATAAATGCTCAATCAACACTCTTTTATTCCATACAATTCAACACTTTATGAGCATAAACCATCTGGATGGGGAGACATGCATGCAGAGGGACACAGCAAATCTCAAACTGGTGGAGGGTTACTCAAACTCTTATAGCCTCTAGTGGCCCCCACCTAATCGTAAAAACCTAAACATTCACATTCTTTCTAACTCCTAGTGAGCCTGACTTATGGCCTTGGCTCCCTATTTTGTCTGCCTTCAACAACAGTGGGGGTGAAGCTCCCGTGGAATGTGCTCTAAGATAAGATAAGATAACCTTTATTAGTCCCACACGTGGGAAATTTGTTTTGTCACAGCAGGAAGTGGACAGTGCAAAAGTTATGAGGCAAAAATTAGAATACAATAAGAATAAATACAGTACACAGCTGTACAGAATAGAATAAAATAAAATACTATATACAGTAGAATAAAATAGAATAAAAATATACAATAAGATAAAAATAGAATACGAATGCTATATACAACTGAGTAAAAATACAACGATGCCAGAAAAGATTATTGCACTTAGTGTTATCTCCTCTACTATCAGAAAAAGTCCTGACTCTCTGAAAACAGTATTTCTTATAACTCAGCTAACCCTAATAACTGTAACAGTTATCACCTTTCTCTAATTCAGGAGAATACTACAAACTAAAACTACATAATAATTTCACAATCTTTATTTAGGGGTATAACATAGCATAAGATAATATTATAATCCCACAATAGATAGACAGACAGACAGACAGACAGACAGACAGCACTCTTTATGCTTATCA